CCCAAGCTGATGAAAGTATCTCAGCCAGAAGATTAGGTGCTAAGTCTAAGCAAGCATTACCTTTGCACTGTCGATGTTTGTCTTGAAGCCTTATATAGCAAAATACCGATTCCCTGAGCTGTGCCTATCTTGCATTGAAAACACAAATTTTGAAAAAAGAAAAAAAAAAAAGACTTCTATGGCACTGTTCCCAAAAATCATTTATATTAACCTTAGAAATTGCTCACTGAAATCTGCTACTCAGTCTGCTTTCCTTAGATTTTGCTTGTGTGCTGGAAGTAATTAAGAGTAAAGGTCTACTTCAGTCCAGGACTTGTTAGACTGCTTTCAAAAGGCTATCTGAACTCTGATTCTGTTTGACCTGATTCAATACAGACATATATGGCATCACTGTGGTTGACAAATTCAGTACCAAGTTGGAATAAGATGAACATTTCCAAAAGTGGATGACTCGAGATAGCATAGGTTCTGATTTTCAGGGGTGTCTAGCTTTCCTGGCTTGAGCTGATGCCAGTTCAAGCAGTGGGATGTAGGACACTTCTCATGATTTAGGCCTTACATTGTTTTCCCCCCAGGTAACTAAGTACTTTTAAAGAAGGGATGGAAGAAGAAGCAAATTCATAGCAGAAGTGAAAGGATGGTAAACACCATTAGATTAATCTGGTTTGGGCATAAAATTTAAGATAATCTGGTTATAGAGCAGAGTGGGCATACTCTAGCAAAATCATATGGACTTTTGAGGAAAATTGTGCCGCTGCCATGTTTTCATTATTTTCTGCTTATTGTTACAAGTTCCCTAGAATTTAAGAGAATACTTCTAGCAACTGCAAACCCCAGGAAAAGCAACTTTGACTCTCAACCCTTTGGTATTTTGCAGCAGTCATGGAAAGGCAACAAGCAACCCCACCTCCCCTTGTAAAGATGAGCATTTCTAAATGCTCCAACGCTGCCAGGCCATGGGGAGGGGAAGAGGCAGGGAGTGTTGCAAAGAACTGCAGCCCGTCTCAGGCGATGAAAAGCAGAACAGGACTGATGAGACAAATGGGATAAGACGCTAGGTCGTACAACCCCATTCGTACTGAATAATTTTATGTCAATTTTCAAGCCGTTATTTAACAGCACACGTCACGTTTTTGTTTGATTTTCTGTGCATCGTGAATTATTTGGTACTTTTGCATTAGTGTGCATTAGGATAAACCTGTCTAATCTTACCGACAAAATGCATCGTAGGGAGAGCTCCCCCAATCTGTTGACTGTTCCTTTAATCACAAAATGGTCAGACACAGGATCCAATCACTGCTGGGGCTGTGGTAGCGAGTGACAAATCATTCCACTTCTGAAAATTATTAATCTTCATGGCGCTGTGCTTGTGTGCTATGATTTACTGAGAATGAAATAACCCCACAATGCTCAATTTAAAATTGGACACTGGTTCTGAATAATGACACACATTTACTGATGTGATAAAGCAATTGAATAGTGTGGGTTCATTTGTAATGGAGGGAATGGCTGTACTATCAGGGATCAGATTGATGAATGTGAAGCTAAAAAAAAAAAAATCCAAGGTAAAAATGCCTGGAAATTGTTCCTGTTTGGAAAAGCAGCTTTAACAATTACGCTGTTACTGACATACAATAGCTTTTTGAAAATAGCCCCTTCAATGGATGTGCCATTATAGGGGCAAATAGAGGCCTTTTTTTTCCTAAGGGCTAAGGCATCACATCTGTGCTTTGGTGCTGGGGTTCATCAGCTTGCTCTGCAGCTCCAAGTCCTTGACTGAGCCTACTTTGGCATGGCTAGGGACACGCATATGGAAGGCAGGAAGGGTGATTGCCGCAGACCACCATTTGTTTGGGGACTGTTGAATGCCCTCCACCGAGGGTGCCACATATGACAGCGTGGGGAAGTTGCATCAAGATTTTGTCGCACCTCTATTAAAGCCTGCCTGGGCTACTGTATACCGTCCAAGGTACATACTTGTGCATGGCATGTTACAATCCAAAGGCCCCCATTTCTCTTGGGGGAGTGGAGTGTATTCGTCATAAATGTCCCCCCAAGTCGCAGTGTAAGATTCAGTGAATGAAATGCTGCAGCCTGTGTTTATGCACTTTCCCTGCACACAGAAACATTGGCTTCTTTTTCCTTTTCTGCTTGCACCATTTATCCTGCATCTGCTGCTTGTGCTCCTCCACTAGTTTTAGATCCCCTCGCATTTGGCAATCCAGCAACACACAGAGAGACCTTCTAACTGAGAGATTAAGAGGCCAAATCAAAGGTGGTATAAATTGGCTCCCCGTTAGTCAATGGAGCTACACAAATTCTACACCAGAAGACACGAGTAACTGCTACTGCAAAAATAACCACTTTGTGAAGGCATTTGGGAAGATCTCAGTAAAGAGGAAGGAAGCTTTATTTATCTTTCTTATTATTTATGCACAGATGCTTTCCACCCAACCAAAGGGCGATGCACGTTTTTACATGTTGGTTGTATGAGTATTTGATCTGAGTTTAAAATATTCCATCCTATGGGCATGTCTACACGTGCTTTTAAGTGCACCTAAACTTAATGTGTGTTAAGGAAATGTGCATTAAGGTGACTTGGGCACACATCTACATGTGCACATGCTAAGGCGCATTAACACAGTGTGTGGACCTGCTTGGGACTGAAGTTAGTCTCAAGTCAGTCGACATGCACAGCGTTACTGCACCTTAGTGCACCTATATATGCGTTAAGGTATATAAGGCATATATGCTTTTGCAGGTATCAAATTTAGGCATGAATAGCCTAAAATCTCCATTTTTAAGATGCATTAAGGGTGCACATGTGTAGATGTGTGCCCTGAATGCACCTTAAATCAGACTAAAGAGCCTTAAATCGGCACGTGTAGATGCGCCGAGTTCCTAATATCAGAGAGACAATAAATGATAGAAGGGGATAATGCAAACACTGAGCTGAGTCTTGTCTGCTTTATATACATATTTTACTTAAAAGTTTCTAGCTTTTCAGTGAATCATTTATTCCTAGTTAAAAACTGGGAGTAGTTTTGTGTTTCAATTTGAGAAGGGAAAAAATCAATTTTCCAACTTTCGAGCTACACAAATAGCCTAAAATCGCCATTTTCAAGATGCATTAAGGGCGCACATGTATAAATGCATGCTCTTAATGCGCCTTAAATCAGGCTAAAGCGCCTTAAATCGGCATGTGTAGACATACCCCGAGTCCCTAATATTAGTAAGTGAATAAATGATAAAAGGGGGGGAGGCAGGAAGGCATTATGCAAACATTGAGCTGAGTCTTGTCTATTTTGTATACATATTTCACTTAAAAGTTTCTAGCTTTTCAGTGAAACATCTAACCTTAGTCGAAAACTGGGAGTGGTTTTGTGTTTCAATCTGAGAAGGGAAAAAAGTCAATTTTCCAATTTGCCAGCTACAGGAACTATAACTAATTTTTAAAGTATTTTTATATACTGTTCAAATGAGGCACGCAAAGGACTCACTGTGCTCCCTTGTTAAATGTAGGATAGGCATATTAACTAACTGGACATTGTGGTCAATCGATTAGATAAGCAACTTAAAAAGGCCTTTGCTATTCATCATGCTGTGGCTGGCACATATGTCTGGTGGTATGTTGTTTCCAGCCCCTCCCCTTCATTAGAAAGTCCTTCAGGCCAAGGACTGAATCTATACAGTGCACAATGGGAAACCCGTCCTGATCAAGTATTTCAGAATAACCTGCCTCTCAAAGCCAGTTCACAGTGTGCATGGGGCTCTATGGCAGTCACACTGAAAGCAGCAGAGGATGCAAAGAGCTAGAAATGTGGGTCAGCTTCCACAGCCCCTCTGCTAGATTAATGGGGTACCCGGAAACCCTAAAAGTACCAGCTCTCAAGCGCCAAAGCTCCCAGTTCAGCAAGGTATTAAAGAACTGAGTAGGCAGGCTGGAAGGTTTCTGATGAAAATCTCCCTGCCAGATCATCAAAATTACATGTCTGAAAAATTATTCAATTTTGACATATTGGAAAATGTTTCATTCATATTTTTCTGGGGAGAATTAATAATAATAAAAAAAAATGCAGATTATTCTTGAATTCTTCGATCAGGTCCCAAGAATATGAATCTGCTCTCATTGAAATAAGTCAGCTAAATTCCCCCCAGTTCCAGTGGAAGCTGGTCCGTGCCCTCATTCCATATTTAAAAGACTTTTATTAATTTATTAAGAAGACAAACTGAGTTCATTTCCAAAAATCTTTTCTTGTTTGGAAATCAGGTTTCAACTCCAAATGAACCAGACAAGCCCCAGAAGGAATGCCAGGCAGGCTAATGGCAATGCAGCGTCTGCCCATATCATTTTTAAAGAAGCATGCCTAACATCCTCTTGGCAGTTTCCAAAGCAAGGCCACCTATCAGATCAGCACAAACATTGAACTCTATTTGAACTCCCAATTTGGAGGCTGCTGGGTCCCTGTTGGGACAAAAATGGAAAAGTCTGAAGTGCTGCTCCTGATGCACTAGCCAACTCTTACGTCAAAGACATGCTCAGTCTCCATCCTATGGCTGTGTATCACAAGCATGCTCAGAAACCTATGCCTTGGTCATGAATGAAATGAATGATACTCTTAGTTGACTTTCCAAGGACACTTGCGCACACCTCATGGCCGCTTCATCCTCCGGTGCAATTTAAAGTAGGTGTCACTTTTGACACCGCCAAAGTCCAGGCCTTGGAGTTCACGGCCAGAAACGAGAAGAAGTCTGACTTGTGACTTACTACTCTGTCTGAATCGAATCGGTGCTGTTAATCCTTCATTTTTATGAGCATTAAACTATTGTACTATGCAATCTATCAGCGTATACGTTCCAAGTTCCCGTGCAGAATAAAGGCAAAGAAAAGTCATTCAAACGTATTAGGAATCGTGATACAGAACAGTGTTAATTACAGCCAGTTGCAGTTTGAGAGCTACGATCTGAGTACGCTTGATTCAGAAACAGAAAAGTTTTACCTGCATTTTGTAGAAATCTTTTCCAGTTAAACATTGTACTGGGTGTGGTCATAATGCCTAAATTCAAGAAAAGAAAGGGACAATGTGGTTTACTTGACTACGGGTAGCAGAACAATTCCTGAAATCTTGTTTGGAGTAACAACTTCTCTGTCAAACACTCTAAATTCCAGTTTCACTTGCTCCCATGTCAAGCTCTTCCCTTCCCTCCCTTAATCCCTTGCCTGCATGGATTTTTTTGTAACGTTCAACTTGATTCTACATAAAATGATGTTCTAGTTTAAGTATCGATATCTGCACCTTGGGCCAATTCCCGTTTGAGAAGTCAAGGGAGCTATGTGCCCACTTCCATCAATGCAGATCTTACTTGACGGTGAGAATGTCTTAGATCAATCCCAAAGCAAACACCAAGATATGGAACAGAGCATCAGACCCCAATCCTTTAATGTTAAACTATTAAATTGCAATACTCTTATTTTACCGCTTACTAAACTTTAACATCTAACCCAATCATAAACATTTTGAAAATGAAATTGTTACCTTAGAAGGCCCAAGTTAAATATGCAAAATGTTATGCTTTTCACCCACCAAAACTGGGTATTTTAGGTATATGAAACAAATATCAGACACTGAAGCAGCTGCATTTAAAATGCTAAATTAGATTTTATTTGTTGCTAACAATCCCCCAGAAAACCTCAGATATGTATATAGTGCCCTGCAAACATCTAGTTCCTATTCCCTGTACCATTTGTGTGGCCAACATTTTCAAAAGCAAATGTTGATTTCTGATCACTGATTTCTGATACTGATTTCTCAATTTCTGATACTGATTTCTCAGGAACCTGATTTGAGACACTGTGGCCTTGTGGTGGCCCGAGTTTTAAGGAAGGGACGCTTGTCACTTCCTTAAAAGTCAAGTTTCAAGAGTCTGATGCAAAGCTCATTGCCTTCAGCCAGATTTGGATAAGGGCCATATATAGTAAAAGTCTCGTGTACTTTAATGGAGGTGGGATTTTAGTCTAGATGTCTGTTTCAGGGAAAAAATATTTGTTTCACCAGAAAAAATGCACACAGATAAGCATCACGAGAGCAGCAAGTAGCAAGATTCAAAGCAAGCACATACTGGACTGAACACTTTAAAACTCTTACCTTGAGTCTGGACACATATTTTGCTCCCAGCATAAGGCTTCAAAGGGAGGAGGAAGAAAAGTAAATTTTATTGCTTATAATAAAAAAACGTTTAGTAGCAGAAAAAAAATCTAGGTCAGTAATATGTTCAGCTATAATAGTTGCCTGATCAGTAATATGCAGCAAAAGAGACCATTAGAAAGGAACAGGTTTGCAAGGTCAAAACCACAACATGATCAGTGATTTAAATTAGGTTTAATCAATACATACAATACGAACCAACTAATTTTGTAATTTGATACAATTACCAGGTTAGTATAAAGCAGACTTTTGGCTTGCACCAGTGACATTTCTAGTATCCATTAATCCACTGTTGTATCGAAAGGGAAAATACTGCCTTAAAAAAAACGGTTTTCAAGTAAAGAAAGGCTGAAGTTTCAAAAATTCTGGGTCAATGCTGGTTTCAAAGCAAGAGACTCATGGATTTATAACTGCCTTTCTCGACAAAGAAAAACAAAGCCCACCCACTTCTATCACCTTGTCGGATTGGTGTTACACTTATAGATGAGCTTATCTACGTGGAGACAGTGATCGATATAGCTGTAGTACAACAATTAGTTATTCTGGGAAAACAGGTATTTCAAAGTAATTCTCTGCATGGACATGTTACTCTGGAGTGACAGTGATTTGATTTTGGAAATTTCACTTCTAGGTTATTCCTGAATGGCTATGCTGGTCAGCGCACACCACATGTGCAAGACCATCTTCTGTCAGTAGATTCCACAGGAGTTCAAGCTGCTAAATTAGCTGCATCCTATATAAGTTATAAAAACAACCAAGTGAGACTCTAGTCATGAAGTATCCTCAGGTCTTGCCAAAACAGCATTACAGACAACCAGAGGTTGCTGAGTGCTTGTACTATGTCCAAAATGTTGTGTTCACCCAAACCCACCGTTGCAAATATCTTATAAGCGCTGGCTACCAGCCCTAAGAGGAGGTATTAAGCTTGAATGTGTCAACATAACAAAATGGATTATTATTGTGCTGCTGTCAGATAGAGCAAAATAAATAATGTCTAATCCTAAGGTAGCACTCTTTTGGGGCATATCCTCACGAGTGGCAACATCCATTTCCCTGGGGACAAATAGCAGCACATATTTGTGCCGCTTGTCCCCAGGCAAGTCCCTGCACACATGTTCTGGTGCATGGCAAACTGCCCCAGGTCGGGGAGGGGAGGCTGGGGCCAGCACCTAGGCAGCTTTACCTGGGGCTCTGGTGATCTGGGCACGCGGAGCCTGGCCAGTAGCAAAAGCGTGGCTTTGGATGGACAGGCTCTGGTTTCTGGCGGCGCACACTGCAGCCATGTACACCGCACCAGATTTTTTTTTCCGTGGTTTTTTTTAGATATCAGGATGCAACACAGCAAATGGATCCGCGTGCATTTTGCAGCGACTTAGAAGGTTTTGAGGTGCTGCAAACCACATGTGCCCACTCATGTGGATGCAGCTTTTGGCCTCCAAATGCTGAAACACTTCATAAACGATCTGGAGGATACCAGGAAGGACACTGGCCATTAGTTAATCTATGCATCAATCTATGCATCAATTTTCAGAACTACAGCAGTCGGAAAATTTGGGCCAGGGTACTGACATGAAGGCCACGCTCAGGGTAGGGAGCAGCAGCTTACCTCAGCTTCCACTGAGAGTGATGGTAAAGCTCCACGTGACTCCAGGAGGAGCTGTGAGACCAACACTGATTGCATCTGAAAATCTCCTCCTTACTGCCATCTCTTTACGAACACGTGCAAAAAGGCCAGGTCCTCAGCTGTGTAAAACAAGTAGCTGTGTTGCATTGGCTTTATGCCATCAGAGGATCTAGTCCAAATACTTCAACAATCTTACTTGAGCACCGAAAAAGCAGAGCAGTTACAAGTTTAAAATGGGGGCTAAACTAGTATTTTTGTATTACTAAAATATGCACACATAGGAGTTCACAAGTCCCTGATTGCATGTATCTATTTATGTATATTTGGTGCAGTGCTCTGCATGGAAATGGACTGAATTTGCTCGACATTTCTTTCACTTGGCATGAAACAACAGCCCTGGAGGATCTAGCATAACCTTTGCTTGGCAGCTAACTTAGGAATCAAATGCACGTGCAAAATCACTAACCTAAGTATGAGTCTAAAAAAATTTTTTTTAAATCAGTTGTGGATTTGATAGCACCTGGGAAAACATAGCTTATGAAGCTCTATAATAATTCAGAGAGATTTTAAAACAGCACATGTGGAGAGAGCGCTACTTCACACAAGGCAATTATGCTATCAGATAGTCATTTTGGTGGAAGCAAAGATTAATGCAAGATGTGCAAGTGACCTGTGCACTGATCTTAGATTGAAAAGGTTATTTAAAGGACCACATCCCCTTTACCTGCAACTTGGCTTGCAGAAAAGTAGAAGATACATAAACCAGGGAAACTCTAATAAGACCCAAAGGGAAGTTTAAAGTGTCCAATATAATGCAAGTGTTTAAACTGCATCATCTAATTTAATTTTTTTTTAAACGTGCAAAATGACATCCTTGTTTAAAAATAAATCTGGGTTTATGTAACATGAAATGGCAAGGCCTGGTCTATGTATTTATTTATATTTTAGTGACTCAATGGGCAGGTTAGCATTCCCTATTCGTCTGATGCTGTGAGGAGCTGAATACTTTCACAGATTTAAAGTGCATCGGAGACCATTATAACTGTCTGATTTAAACTCTTGCATGACAGAGGCCATGAAATTCACCCAGTAATATCTGCATTAAGACTGATATCTTGTGGTTGAACTACAGCATATTTTTTAAGATAGCCCAACTTGATTTGAAGACTGACTTTAAACTCTGTTGTCTCCCGTGTCTGAGCTTGTAGTAGTCACAAGTCTGTGGGGATGCACTTGGCATCTTGCAGAATTGGGACCTCCTTTTATTTAACCCGTTATAAATGTAACAGAGTTCAGTGTACTGTATGATACTTATTTAACGAAGGGACTTATATCAATACTGTTCTTTAAAATATTTCATCTGAATCGCATACAACAGAAAGCTTTTCTGTCTGAGAGCTATTAGCTATAAACTCAGAGCCTTATTCTCCTGTCCCTTGCAGGATGAGAATTTCATACTTCCGTTTATGTTACAATAGGTAAGTCATGTGGCTTTGTAGGTGAAAAAGTTATTTCATCCTCACACAAAAATAAATCGCTGTACATTGCACAGTTTGGCACCTTTGGGTGGGATGTGAGTGTTGCGGAAATGGAGCTAAATTCTACTTCCACATTAGAGTGGCTTGGTTGCATGCCAAAGAAGCAACGATATGAGCCTGTACTATGGTTGGTGCAAGTCTAATTTACCCAGCCCTTGTGCAAAGAAGTAATAGGAGCAGTCTGCGAAGAGACTCTGATGTCTTGCCTGAGACTATATGACTTGCAGAATGGTGCTTCTCCTTCCTTGCAAGGCGCCTGAATAAGGAAGGAGGGACAGCTTCTGTTCAGCATTTCACCTAGAGTCATCCAAACTTTTAAGCACATGCTCAGTTAACTGAAGTCAATGAGATGCAAGCACACGGTTCAAGGTAAGCACCTGGCAAAAAGCTTTGCTGAACTGGGGTCCTTTCCAGGTTCTCTAGTGAATGAATGTGTTTTACCCTGACAAAACCTATCCCACATGAACATACTATAGAAAAATAAATGGAGCGAGGGCGGGGCAGGGCTGATCACTGATAATATTTTGTGCTGGTCTTTTATTTGAAGAAATGTGGAGAGAAATAAAGTTACAGCATGATAAAACTGCCAGTATAGAAGGTCTTGCTTCTGAGCTGACATTATACTACTACAATGAAACACTGCTCATAACCACGGAGCCTTTTCAATATTTTCAACACATTTAGATTATGCATTATTAACAAGTTGTATTATGCACTTTATAATTGAAGATAATTAATCCAATACAATAAAAAGGTTTGCATACCATACAATTTCTTACATGTTAGTAATTTAAATTCGTCATTTACTGGCTAAGTAATAAAGCCCACATTAGGGGAGTGATGAGATTCACATTAGCTTGTGTTAATATGCAAGGAAGGATAATGTTCTGAAGAGAGCAGCACAGAAAGATGAAAGGCATAAACCCAGGATTTGCAGCTAACATTAACATATCCTTTGCTTTCTCCTATAGGATCAGGTATAACATTTGAGTCAACAGTATTTAAGAGGCAGGTGACTCCCTAGAGAACTAACCTACAGGCTCCCTGTGTGTTTTGGAGCATAAATCCTTGGGCACAGATCCTCAAAGTGATTATTGTTAGGCATCGAGTTCCCACTGAAATCAACTGGGGCATTTTCATACGTGCTCCCAATGCAGTGCCAGGAGCTTTTAATTAGTGAGCCGCTAACGTGTATTAGCGGCGCAGTGCACCTCTGTGCTAAAAAAAAAAAAAAAAAAGGTGGTGGTGCACTTTGAACTAGATGACATTAAACATGTTTTAAACATGCAGATGACATGTGCGGTTGCCGGAGTGCATCGATTTATGTCCTCCAGAAGACGCAATTAATCGAGTCTGCTCTGACGTGCTGGATTTCCGGCACGTCGGAGCAGGCTCCTCGCATGTGTGTAAGTGCTCCTAGTTATCTAAACACCTTGGAGGAATTGGGCTTCAGTCTGTGCTCTAAAATGAGTATAGGCACAAACCTCTGCTTCTTTCAATTGTAAAGATATATATTTATATATAAGATATATTTAAAGATGGAAAAGCCCCCCCGATACTATACATCGGTGGGCCTACAACTACCAAAGATAGATATAGATTTACAAAAGCGAACAGGTTTTTAATATACATTTAAATTATTATTCAAAATGTGTTGTGCCAGACTCCCAAGTGAAACAATGTAAAAACCAGGTAAGGTGCTGGGTATTTCAAAGTCCAGATTTACTCTATTCCCTGATCCTATGGCCATCAGCTTGTTTTGCCTCTCTTCTAGTGGAATCTGTGAGATACAGTGATCTCTTTTCGTGTCCGTCCAGAGTATGGCATGTAGTAGTCTTTATTGAAAGCAAATCATAACCAAATTAATAGACCATACACTAGAACTCCTATCTTCACGTGTTCTCCCATTGAAACAGGTCAGAATCAATCAATGCTAAAGAAGTTGGAGATAGCATTAGCAAACAATTTTCTGTTGGTGGAAATTGTGGAGAACGAAACGCATAAGGGAAGTGATTATATTATTATGGGAATTAAAATCAAAGAGGCAGTGTGCGCACTTAGTTCTTCCGGCTTCTTGAGATTATTGTTAAAGGTTATTAGACCACACAAGGAGACATGCAGAGGAGACGGAGCAAAAATGAATAGTTAGAGACAAATACCCTCTTAAATGCCTGGAGTCAGTTGCACTGCAGCTTCCTCAGCCAGGCTAGCACTTGTGAACGGTGATGATTCTTCTGAACTCACCGTCAGTGCAAATTGTCCAGGTGGCAGAAAAAGGATTTTTCTTGTTGTCTGTGGATCAATTTCCAAATTAACTATTCTTTTAATTAGGAAGTGGATATGCAGGGCCAAGTTCTAGCGTGCTGCACAAATGACTGCAAATCGAGTTCATAATCATGCCAAAGTATAATCCCAGGCACCTATTTTTGGACCAAACTAATCAGCCCAACAGAAGCTTTGCGTCTCCTGAAGCCAGGGAGAGGCAGAGCGGCCACACCAGCCTCTTTGATTATAATGCATCCTCCCCTTCAAACTTGGCAAGCTCTGCTGCCTCCTATGCAAAATGGATTTGGCTTATTAGCGCAGAGACTGCAGCTATATCCAGCTCCTTGCGCCCTCCTTATTTTTAAACATCTGTACAGAACCAAGGTTACAACCTTATAGGGATGAGCTCTCATCTTAGCTCTCTGGTCCAGGGGTCAGCAACCTATGGCCCGCAGACCAAATTCAGCCTGTGCAGCCTACAGAGCCGGGGGCTTCTTTGGGGGGCTTCCATGACCGTAGGCTTCACCTGCGTGGCAGCCAGGTGGTGGGGAGAAGCCATCACCAGGGCACTCTCAGGGTGGTGAGCAATGGTTGTGGCCTTGGCTATGGCTGTACAGGCCAGGCCATGCATGTAGGCAGCCCAAGTGTGGAAGCCAAGTTTTGCTAAAGCAGCCCCCTGCTCCAAAATCTTCCTGACCCCTGCTCTAGTCAACAAGCCTGTAATATAGACAAAGTAAAACACTTCAAGCTGGTGAAGCTCACATGCTTTCAATCTGGAGCTAGATTCACTGCTGCAAAGAGTTGGGAGATGTGGTAGTGCAGGCACAGTGTTGGATGGTTACTGGTCTCTAACTTTGGAGGAAAAGCCCAGAATAGATGAGCCTTTAAACTGGCAGGTTTAGAGCCATATCTTCAGCTGATTTAGTTTTTCATGCCAATGGAGCTAAAGGGAATGACATTCATTGAGGATTTGGTTAGAAATGAAAGGTCAACTAAAGGAAGTTGCTATAAAAGTGCAAAGTCTTAGTGGCACTAACAGCATTTTTTTTGTGAACTAAACTACTTCCATATTAAAATAAATAGAAAATGTATTGTTTCCTTGAATACCTTCTAGCACATAAGGTACAATTATGAAACAACACAGAGGCAAATGACAAGAGGACAAAAAATGACCAAGCAAAACGCTTCCAGTTCTGCCTCACTGGTATTTAGGAAAATGTTCTGTTTTTCTGTTTAATGGTAATTAGTAGGATTAGCTAAATGATATACTGGACCAAATCTGTTAACTAGGCAGGATTATAAAATAAAGCAAAATCCAACAATATTGTAAACAGAGGAAGAGAGAGAGAAAACCCAAATGTAATTACTTTAAAATGATGTCTTTAGAAAGAACGCCTCGACAGAAATCTTACCCAAAAAAAATAATCCCATTTTGTCCAATTTCAATTCCAATCAATTTTGTCCAATTGCATCATTTGAAGGGCTGGTTTCTTAAAGCACATTAATGTCACTGTCCCCCTGAGATCTTTAAGTGGCTATTTACCTTTTTCATTTTTTTTTTTAATCAATGTCCCCATTTCTTTGTTCTAGTTTATATTTTTACCCAAGTTACGTGAAGGACGAGTTTGGAACAAGATCACTGATGTCATTCACTTTATTTTCTTGAGAGAGAGAGATTGTGCTAGCTTTAGTTTTGCTCCAAATTCTGGATACTATGCACAGCACAAGGATTCAAGTAGTGCCCTTTTAACAGTGCCTACTTGAAGTCATGCCCAGCAGACATCCCTTCTCTGTGCTTGGCTCCAATTATGGGCAATAGAGATGGGAAGTGGAGTAAAAAAGGGCTCGAAGGTTCAAGACGCTGTCATGCTGATGCTGGTGGACTTCCAGGATGCGTGGCCTATAGCACCTACACTTGTTGTGAACAAAATGAAGGGGCTAGGAGGGAGCAGATGACAGCAGAGGACTAGAAGCAGGCTCAACCTTGGGTTCTGGTGTCCAGGGGACAGCCTGGACTGCTGCCAGCGGGTAAAATTACGGGGGGGTTTTGTGCTGACTTCTGGTAGGTTTGGGCTACAAGGAATCTCTAAGCACCTGTGCATTCATACCTTAAAAAAATGAAGAAGTCCGGTCAATGCATTTCCCATGTTAGTTCAGGGGGATTTGAACATCTATCTCTGGAAATGAATCAAGCTACCAAGCTCCAGTTCTTGGCAATCCTACATGACATCTGTTCAGAAAGTGAAAAACTCATCTGAGCACTCCAGGACTGCTCCTGCACTCCCCGAAGTCTATGGCAAAGCTATCGCTGACTTCTGTGGCAAAGAGTTAGGACCTGAATGAACATTAATCGCAATCTTCCAATAAATCCCATGTAAAATGGCTCCTGTACCCAGATGAAATGCTGCTGAGGTTAGTGGGCCTATATAAGCACCAAAGGGTTCATCCATAGGGAGCTCACCGCAGGATCAAGGCAGAGAGTGTTAGGCATATGCACCACACAACAAATACAACATGCTTTCTTTCAGAGGCCCATACAATAAATACAAAAGGAAATAGTACATCAAAGGTTCCCCACCAAAAATAGTGTTTTGATTATACCCATCACTTCTCAAAATGGATCACTGACTTCTACACAATTGTATTAGAATAGGCCCTTTAACAACGTTCTCCCTTTGCGGTAAAGATGATGGGCACGGTTTGCCTTAAGTATTTAATGCTTACTTTAAAATCAAATTCAATATTGGAATACATGTGCTATGAAAATAATAAATGGAGCAGTAAGTAAAACTAGCCAAGTGTTTAGTTAATATAATTATGGATTTTATTGGACATTATTCAGCCAGCCCTATAGCTGGCTATATAATAGCCTTCAAGTAAATTGTTAAATAACATACTTTTTGTTGAACGTGTCATTTGAATAATTTTGTTCGGTAGTTGGCCAGTGGTAACATTTGGGATTAAAAAAAAAGCATTTTGTTTTTTTGATGCCTACATCCGGCTTTTCACAATCATTATGTATTTATGTGCAATGTACTCCTCGCATTATAAATAGGGGTGAGAGAAGGGGTGCATCGTGGATTTGGTGGTCTTACCACAACTTTCATTTTACCTCTGCAATTCACCCTCAAGAGTATGCCCTTCTCAGTGCTGCCAAAGCAACACTAGCTAGCTGGAGATCTGGCTGAATCATTTACAAATTATTTTACAATTTTTGTTGTTGCAAGTAAAGCTGTTCAGTAAAATCCTGGCCACATGAAGGAGCTTGTTAATCTATGTAAAAGGAAGAAGTATGTGCGTATGGCCCCCTCCATTACAGGCATACATTACAGGTATCATGCAATGAACCTGGAGATCAGCCGCATGTGCAAAATGCCTATTGCACAATAAAAAGCTCCAACCAACTATAGTTAGACCTCGAAAATGTGTGCTGACTTTACAGCTGGTTGCTTTTGAGCTTCAATTTGCATGTGTAGCAAGCAAGGTCTCCCCTGGGGCTGGGAGCCCTATCAACTGACAGTGCTGTACAATGTGCAGCCAGGGCCGGGATTCCTGCAACTAAGGGGACTCTCAGCCCGGCAGATGGTGCAGCACAGGGACCCAGAGTCCCAGGGCTGTGGCTGCAGGGTGCTGGGACCCAGCTGGGTCCTGGTAGCCAAGGGGGCCCACGTGCCCTGGGTCTGGGGGAGATCGCAGCTGCCACGATGTCCCAGCCTTAGGGGTGGGTGAAAGCACTGCAGCGGAGGGATCACAGCAGCCGTCATCCCCCACCCCAGGAGCCCCATCTAGCCACAGGAGCTTGCTTCTTGCCAACGTAGCAGGAGCCCAGGAGCCCACAATCTCCCTTCCAGCCATGCACCTGTAGCATAGCAGGAGGCACGATTATGTGGATCACTCCCTGGATCCCATTGCGTGTTTACCTGCCCATATAGAGGGGCTCTATGGTATTAGGCTCGGTTAAAACAAGAATAGTTCATTTTAAATGCTACAAAGCAGCACTCTCTTAAATGCCAGATGTATCTGACCTGTCAAAGTATATACATATACTTTCTTTAAAAAAAAAGAAATGCAAAGATTATTACAATTCCCAAGCAGTACTCAGAATAACATTTTAAGATAATGCCTCATTGATAGGATAACATTTTAGGATAATCACCATATAAACATACCCACTCTCTCTCTGCCATTTCCTTCATTTTCTCTGTGAAAGCCACTGCAAACCTAGTTAAGAGGACAAAAAGATGGCTGCAATCATCTGCTTAAAGCCTTTAAGCACAACAATAAAGGAGCGTTTCAGAACAAAAATATAGGAGAGTAGGGACTGGAGGCTGACAAAAAGTTAGGGTAAAAATGGAAATACAGGAAGCGGGTATTTGTTTTACCAAGAAGCAGTTGCTAATTATCTCTCTAGGCTTTAGCGGGATTTGCAAGCAACTGAAAACTCCAGTAGAGTTAAAGTGAGGGTTTCTTGTGTTCAGCAAAAGCCTAACTCCCGAAAATGTCCCCTGCAGTTTATCCAGATTAACATAGCTGGCTGCAATGGTCTGTTGTTTTTTTACTTCTACTACCTTAAAGTCCTAAATTTTGGTATTATTTTCTTGCAATCAGAAAGCTGGATAAGAAGGAATCTGAGGTCAACTACTGATAGTTTACTCTCCTGCTACCCATACCTCTCTGCCTCGAGTTCAACACCAATGAACACCCAACCACCCTCAGCTTCCTTTTCCCCTCTGTCTCCTTTTAGGTTCAAACTCTCGTGTCTATTTGTTGTTTGTTTAACAGACATTGGGTGAGAAATGAATACCTGTGGGATCAAAAGGTTGTGTGAACTGAATGTGTGTATATGAGAATAATAAATGAATGTATTTAATCGCAGTATATACTAATTTTAGGGGGAAAGATGGGTGAGGGTGCTAGGCTGGGACTCGGGGAAACCTGGAGTCTATTTCCTGCTCTGCCGCAGACTTCCTGCGTGACCTCTGTCAAGTCATTTAAGTACAGACTCCCAGGGATATTTATTTGAGTAAATAGACATTAGGCACCTGAATGCCTGCAAGGATCTAGGCCTGTGCTTCAGTTCCCCATCAGTGAAAAATGGGGACAACAGAACTTTTCTAATTCACTGAGGTTCATGAGGATAAATACCGATTATGAGACAGTCAGATACTACAGTAATAGATTGAGGCTTTTTTTTTTACATCAATTTACGGAAACATCCAAAGTAAAGGAGGACTATAAGCATGCAGGTATCGACTGAAGATATAATACAGCAGAACACACCGTGCCTAACATATTCTAGGTGAAATACATCGGGGGATTTTTTTTTTCCCCATCCTTCAGGTGAAAGGGATAACTAGGGGACCAGTGAATTCAAAGTGACTCTGAGTAACAAGCAGGAAGGAGTTAAGCATCTCGAGATGGAAAGCAATCTGGATGAAAGTTATCCTGGGATAACAGTTTGTGAATCTAAGTAGGGAAGAAGTGAGAGCGCTAGAACAATAACAATGGCCTTCAGACTTCAACGCATTGAGGGAACAGGGAGGTAAGTCCCATGGGAAGAAATCTGAAGGGAAACCAATTCAGAAGAGCTGGCAGTTTCTAAGAGAGAAGATATTAAAGGCAAAGAAGTGAAGTATCCCGCTGCAGATAGAAAGTACAGTATGAGACCAAAATGACTAAATCAAGAGGACCCAGCAGGGCAAGCGGTACTTATCTTGAAAAAGAGGACTCGGGGAATTCTAGGCCAGTGAACCGTGCCTTGATACTGGGAGAGATAATGGAACAAATTACTGTCAATAATCATCAATTAAGGATCTAGAGAATAATGAAGTATAAAAACCAGCGAACATGGATTTGTCAAGAATAAGCCATGTTAAACTATCCAAATTAATTTATTTGGCAAGGTAACTGAGAGAGAAGCAGTAAATGAGGATATATCTTGGCTTTGCTAAAGCGTTTGACTTACCGCCATATGCTGTTCTCATAAGCAAACCTAGGAAACATACTACAACGTGGCTACATTACTGGCGAAGAAACCATACTCAGAACAGTTAGCAAAAGTACACTGTCAGACTGGGAGGACATATCAAGTTGTCTTCCACAAGGCTCAGTTTTGGTTCCAGGACTTTACAGTATTTCATTAAAGACCTGGATAATGAGACGGAAAGTATACTTATAAAACCTGCAGATTACAGCATGCTGGGATGGCTGCAAGCACTTTGGAGGATGGGGATGATCGTGGTACATTGGAGAAATGGTCTGAAATCAATACGATAAAATTCTTTTATATATAAAAAAAAAAAGACAAGTGCAAAGTGCTATACTTAGGAAAGAAAAATCAAGTGCGCAAATACAGAATGAGGAATAACCTGCTTAGGCAGCAGTATTACAGACGAGGCTCTGGGGGTTATTACAGATCACGAACGGAATATGAGTTGTCAAAGTGATGCTGTTGCAAAAAAGGCAAATCTCATTCTGAGATGTAGTAAGAGGGGTGCCACACGTAAGGCAAGACAGGCTATTATCCCATTTCGTTCAGCACCAGAGACACGGCAGCTGGAGTACAGCATCCCGTTTTGGGCACCATGGTTTAAGACAGACGTAGATAAATTGAAGAAAGTCCACAAGACAACAACAAATAGAAGGGATTTAAAAAACTCAACCTATGATAAAAGGTGGAAAGGGCTGGGTTTGTTTAGTCTAAAAAAGAAAAGAGAAGATGACAGGAGCATGTAATAAGTTTTCAAATGTGTGAAAGGTTATTATAAAGACGACAGTAACATTTTATTCTTCTTGTCCAGGAAAGGTAGGATAAGAGATAATTGGCTCAATTTGCAGCAAGACAGATTAGGTTAGGTTACAAAAAAAACCCCCAAAAATATTTTCCAACAGTAAGGATAGCTAAGAAGTGGATCTGGCTGCCTAAGGAGGCTGGAGATTTAAACGAAAGGATTAGACAATAGACATCATTTATCTTGGATGGTCTGGGTATACTTGATCCTGGCTTAAGTGCAGGGGCTAGAAGAAATGACCATTGAGCTTCCTTTCATATGTACATTATTACACTTCTTTAACCTCAGGTTATGGGCTTTACATAGTGCTTTCTATCTTCAACGAATGGTATGAACAGCAACTAATCAGAGCTGTCCAACCTCTTTAGAGCAGGCAAGTAATATTATTTCCATTGTACATATGGAAAAACCATGGCGCAGAATGTTTAAGGCTTATACTCCCACACGCGTTTCTGATTCTGGGTGTCTATGTTTTGACCCGGCTTGTTTTTTCAAGGATACTTAGTATATGAAGGTCTAATTACAATTAGCGGAAGCAAACTATTGAATACCTCTAGGCTGTGTGTCCCCCAGGCAGTGATCTTTATAAGGACAGATTCCACACAGCATCGAGCAGCTATTAAGAATGTGCTTAACTTTAAGGTAACTTTAAATCCCGATGAGATTTAGCCATGAGCCTTGACTGCTGTCCTTAAATGGGGCTTTAGTGATAATGCTTTAGTAATTGATCCACTGTGGTTCTTAGTGATAATGCCTTAGTGATTTTGTCCCAGTAAGACTAAAATAGGTGCACGAGTGCTGCCATGAATAGAGAGTCTCTCCTGACTCAGGGGAACAGACCTCAGTTCAACAAGGGACACGTATTTTTTTTCCCATGCCGAGGATAAAAATGTGTGATAACTGTTCCTCTACATTTAATTCGTGATGGTGTTTGTTTTTTGTAACAGTGGCAGAGCAAAACCTATACTGATCTTCCTGAGGTTCACACACCTTGCCTCCCTGTAGTCTTTCAGGGTATTTATACACGTGGCGTAGGACCTGACACCGGGCACTTTAATTAGAGAGTTGCGCTAATTAAAAGGGCCTGCACGTCACATGTATCAGCGCCGTCACGCATCCCCGCACTGAAAAAAAATGGTAGCGGGGCACTTTGAACTAAAGCTCATCGAATGTGTTTTATTTCAAAGCGCGCCACCATCATTTTTTCAGCTTGGAGATGCGTGGCGACGCTGATACACATGACGCGGAAGGCTGCCGGACTGTGCCGATTTCCGTGCTTCAGCAGACTCGATTAATTGAGTCTGCTCCGACGCGCTGGATTTCCAGCACATGGGAGCTGGCTCCACGCAGGTGTACAGGACCTCTCAATGCCTAGAGGCAAAATGCAATGAAAAACTTACAGCTACAGTGATGCTCTTCCACCATGAGCTGCTAAGGTTATAATCTGTTGGTGCAAAGTCACAACTGCTCACTGGCTGTCATGTAAATGTTTGAATACACTTCGTTTCATAGTAATTAATCCTGTTTCCATGCAATTGTGCAACTGTATTTATCACACAGTATAACAATGCCTTCCATATATATAATTTGACAGGTTTAAGGCCATTGAAGCCTTTGCAAATGCTTGTTTGCTCAAGTTGCATATGCTCCCTTTCCAGTTTTTCCCATTATATTTTCAATAGATCACATTAGCAAGCAGAAAAAAACTGTTGCTCCAAAGTCCACAAAGTATTATCAAATTCAAGGAGCACAACCACCCTTTAGAGGAGTTTGATTAAAAAAGAAACACTCATTATAAAGCTAGACACAATTCAATACTTTGTTTTACACAATCTGGTGGCATACTGTGCCGGTCATGTAATCTACAATTCATGAAACTTTCTGCAATCAATAAAGAAAAAAAATTGGTGTTTGTTTTAATAACTATGCAATGAATAATACTAGTGATAATACTGCAGGGGGGATCCATTCAATGGTGCCTCTAGAAAAGTAAGTTACTCTCTATCAGAGAAAATTTTATGAACTGTGCAAAACACCCAGTAATAATATTTGAAGCACCAGACAAAATCCAAGCTAATAAAACGCAATTAAAGTTCCTATGTTAATTATTGCACCAAATCACTGATCAGCAGGGATCCTGATAAAAAAATCCCCAATTTTTGGTTTAAAAAAAGTAACCTAAAATCCACATTTTTCTGTTATTAAAATGAAACACCACCTATATATTGATGTGTATATATAGTGGTGTTTCATTTTAATCTCTCAAAAATTGTGGATTCGGGGTTACCTTTTTTAAGCCAAAAATTGGGGATTTTTTTTTAATCAGAGAACACCACGATCCCTGTTGATCAGCCATCGTTTCTGCATGAGTCAAATTCTGCAAGTTTGAAAGATTATGTACATCCTAACTGCGAAACCACGGGCTACGGTGGAGAGACTTCAAAGGGGGGAAAAAAGCAGTCTTATTCAAATATAAATATTCTCAGTTTACTTCAGTTTAACGCTCAAAGTAAATGATTTTTTTTTAATTGCCAGGCCCCCATTTCTCTTTTCTTCTCTTCCATTTATATACCTGGAGTGTTTCTATGTGGTATCTGATAGTCTACCTATTTGCTTACCAACAGAAATAAATCTCTAAGGCCCTTACCAGGGCAGCATTTAAACTGCATCTTAACTTTAACTATAGAAGCACATGCTTGAATGCTGTCCTGAATCAAGGCATTAGTGATAATACTTAAGAGTATGTTTCCACAGCAAATTGAAGGTGTGATTGTCTCCTGAGCAGGCATCCTTGGGCTAGCTTTAATCTAGCTGGCACAGATAACAACAGCTCTGAAGATGCTGGAAGCAAAGCACAAGCTGGCCGGGGACCCGGGATGCACATTCTGGTTGCCAGCATGTGGCTAAGCCTGCGTTTCACCATTATGATTACACCTGCTATAAGATTAAAGCTAGCACAAACATACTGCCCCATGTAGCAATCACACCTTCAGTCTGCTGTTCAGATTTACCCTTAATGAAAATGCATGAGTGACTGGACAGCTCAGACTTAAGAATATGCATAAGTGCTATTGTGACTAGAGATACTTTCCTGAATAGGGGGCTAAGCCTCAGCTCAGCTATGTATGGCTTTGTCTGGCCATGAGTTATGTAGGTCCCTATTTATTTACCTGCAAGTAAGTTGGGTGCCCTGAGTTAGGTGCTACTTGGTATGAGTAAAGATGGTAGAAGAAGTTAAACCATCTGTTAACTTTGTATTTCAAATTACAAACAAATTGATGACACCTTTGAAGGGTTCTGATTTCCAGTGAGAAAATACAACCTATTGACCCGCTGATAGCCGGACTGAAAGCCCATCAAGATCAATGGATTTTGAATTAAACCCTAAGGAAAAGAGTCCCTCCGTGTCAGTGTACAGAGATGTTAAATATGCTTAAACTAGGTTATTAAAAACTCTATTTTAAATGCATGTCATGATATAGCACTAGTGCTTGAGCTATCTCAGCTAATTTTATAATTATGTCACCTGCGTTATCTTTATCTGTAAAAACAAACAAACAAACAAGCCTCAATCCACTGACTATTTGTAGGAATTGTCTACATCTTCTCCCAGGGTCTGTGCTGCTTTAATGCTACAGCTATAATAAGCAAAATGTTAAGAGCAATTAAAAAAAACCCCAACAAAAAAACCCATTTCCAAGTTCCCAAGAGTAAGTCAAAAAATTCTCACCAAGGTATGTGAACAAGTTTAAATCTATAATGCACTGCTCCAAACGCAAATGCTTTTTAGTTATAAATTTTCTATGAAAACTAACAGTTGGGGAGCAAAGCTGATAGGATGGGGTCCTCAGGACGGGTGCTATTTGCACTACCGAATGTTTGTATATATTTGAATACATCAGATATACATAGAAGGGAAGTGAAAAGTAAACTGGAAAAGAGCTTTAAAAATGTATCGTTTTGTGGCAGGGACTATATGAGACCACAAATTAAACATGCTTGTAGTTCTTCTTATTGCTTCCTTCTGCCACCGCTAGAATACCCCCTCCTCTTTGCATGCACGCATCTATTGTTTTAAGGAACGGCTGTGTTTTAGTAGGCAGTGCACTGGAGTAGTAAATTAGAAGCATAAATTCCATTAACTTGTAATGGGACTGGACTTCCTAACGGAGGCTTCTGAAAATCCCACCCTAGGAAACCAGGATTCAATCCACAAAGCTTCCACCATATCCTTCAGTGACCTTGGGTAAGGCTTTTGCACGGTCTCAAATATCACAGTGGCAATTAAAGCATGAAAATGAAGGGAATGAGTAGAAGTCTCTTTTCCATAATGTCCCCTATCATACCACTGAACTCTGCATGAAACTTTTACTGTTATTATTGGTTTATATAAAGATATTGAATATAAGATTAGGTTCTCCCCCCCGCCAAATCAGCATGGGCAAAAGGCTCGGGTTGGGGTCTCTATCTGGGCATGGAGCACATGGAAAATCCTTCCCCATGCCCAGCCAATCAGCAGCACTGGCACGGCTACATGGCCAGGTAAAGGCTGAGCTTTTTCCTCCTGTGCTCCAAGAGGGAGCAGCCCGAGCACCATCTGACAGTAATGTGGGGTGAGGAGACAGAGACTGGAGGGGGTATGGGTGGCAGGGGGGGCAGGAAGGCTGCAAGGGGAAGCAGGCAGAAGGCAAGGGGGCCACCTGACCCCTCTCTCCCAACCACTGCTTTTCCTGCTATAGCAGCGGGGAGAGGGAATTAAGACAACCCTCCAATACTTATATTATACAAATGTATACATTTTCCATATAGAGAATCTAATTATTGGGAGGGCATCATATGTTCAGAGTTGTCTTATATTCGAGTAATTATAGTAATAATCTTCCGCTATAAATCTCACATTCATTGTTACCTAGCTTCTTCTAGCACTGTCCCCATCACCCGGTGTTTTTCTTCATGTTTGATATCTTCATTTATGTCAGTCCCACCAAAGATGATTCCAAATGGGACGCTACTACCTGAAAAAATAAAAATACATGAGACCAGGAGGCTCTCTACATGTTATCCAATAAGTTAAGGACTCAAAAAGAAACTAGTACTGAACAGCATTGGTGACAATGAGATGTTGTGTCTTTGACAGTCTGCCACCACTCCAAGATATACTTCTAGTCTTGTGGCCATAGTCCTTTAAAAGTGATACCTGGATAATCTTGAATTTTCACAGATGTCACACTGAAAAATCATGCATGCTAGTGTATTATCTATCAGGTTTTCTTAAGCCCTGAGCATACTCAATTACAATGTGTTGCAACAGTACAGAGCTTTGCATATCTCTTTTTTTCAGACCAACACGGTTACAGCATAGATCTCTGAAACATGGAAAATCCCGTATTTCAGCATGGAGTACTGGAAAAGTAAACCTCATTGCTAACCTAGAAAGTAGGGTTTTTCACCTTCCCGTCTGACTGATCTCGAACACCTCCAAGGAAGAAGTCGGCCTAAGCTGCACAACACAGAGCAACATGCTCACAAAAGGACTCTGAGATACCCAGGGGAATAAACTCTCACCCTCTACCTCCCCTGTGCAAAATGAAGTTTCTTTTCTACCTAGGAAGACCTTTACAATCTTTGAATTCTCCCCAGCCTGAAGAAGGGTGTATGTGCCTGAAAGCACGCAATGAAAGGAATTTTTTTGCTACTATTTAGTTGGTCTAATAAAAAAAAATATTGCCTCTGACCCAGGAGCTTTGCAATAGTACAGCGATTGGAAGTTTCCATATTGAGCAACCCTCCCAGTGTCTTACAAGTATTGGTTGTACTGCAACATCTAAGAAATGGTCATTAGTTCAAGGAAGGCAAAACAGGAAGTCTGCTACAGCAACATTTCTCAACCGGTGGGACACGTCCCACTGGTGGGACATGAAGGTTGTGCAGGTGGGACGAGGGAAGTGGTGGTGGGCGTTTCCAGGTTCACCGCTAGCACGTCTCCTGCCGTGTGCCGCTGGCACTTCTGGGTTTGCTCGCCGACCGGCCGCCAGGGGACTCCCCCCTTTCATCATGGTGGGATCAGGAATTTGGGGACCAATGGCTGGTGGGACGTAAAGTGCAAAAGGTTGAGAATCACTGCGCTACAGTGTCTTCCTAGACCTAGAGGACACAGCAGACAAGATTATTTGGGTAAATCTGATATCTTTTATTAGACCAATGCAGATAGTTGGAAAAACAAATCTTCTTAGCAAGCTTTCAGGCAGAAACACTCTTCGTCAGGCCTCTGGCTGCTTTACCTCTCCATCCAGGAAGAGCACAGACCATCTGCATATGCTTCTTTACAGCCTGACAAAAGGGTGTTTGTGCCCAAAAGCTTGCCAAGAAGAATTTTTCCAAGTATTTGAGTTGGTCTAATAAAAGATATCGGATTTACCCAAAGAACCTTGTCTGCCTACGTCCTTAGACCAACACAGCTACAACCTACATCCCTAAAGTATAGGCCGGGGGGGGCAAAATGCGGCCCGTGGGCTGGATGCAGCCTGCCAGGCCATTCTATCAGGCCCGCGGGGCCCCTAAAAAATTTAGAAAATTAATATTTATCTGCCCCTGGCTGCCTGTCATGCGGCCCTCGATGGCTTCCCAAAACTCAGTAACTGGCCCTCCGCTCTAAATAATTGCCCGCCCTGGGATAGGCAGCTGCAAACCCTGAAGCATCACTGAACCAACCATTCTTCCTAATGCGATGCAACAGTGCAAGTGCTTTGTGTTTACAAGTTACCAAAAACAGATGCTCCCAAGCAATCATAGTGGTTAGCATAGGAAAGGCGCTTCACAATTCCTGCAGGGCAGTGGTACTGTAATAGTGGAAAGCAGTTCACCAGCTCTGCAGGAACCTAGATACTTATTCTTGTTACACTAGTTGTCTGGGTACAAAGGCCTGGGGTACATGCACTGCACTGGGGTAAACTGAAAACCCATGCAGACTTACATAGTGCCTCTATACCAGCTTTGTTACACTGATAACACAACTTTTATGTATAGCCTAAGCTACAGAAAAAAGCAATAGAGAGAAAAAAGAAAAGATTTCATTCTAATAGTTGTTTGTTTGGAGCCAGATCCACGAAAAAGGTTTTCCCTTAAACTAATCAAGACAACGATTAGTCTAGCAGACAATGAGCATTTATTCTTGATTCTTTAAACATTGCAACAGCACTAACCACAATTAAGTGGTCAGTTTTACACCTCGTTAAGCTAACAAATAACAAGCTGATGCCTCCTAATTAACAACATACCTGCTTCTAAATTCCAGATAAGTGAGATGGTCTCATTTACTTGGTCTAATAAAAGATATCGCATCTACCCGAGGAACCTTGCCAGATAAGTGAGATTGTACTTCTGTAAAAAAAAAAAAAAACCCAAGTCTCCAGTAACACTGGCAAAAAGGGATATAGCTAACAGAGCTGTCATCAAGGAGACTGATTTTGTGGGCTTTATAAAGAACTGTGATGTTAGGATAGAGGAGACTTTATCAGCTATTTATTGACTTGATTTTGTAGCTGTAGTTTGTTGGCACTTCGGGGTAAAGATCTTTCATGTTCATGTAAAGATCTTTCATGTGTCTGAAGTGCTGCTCTGTAAAGGATAACTAGTATTTCACTCAATATGCTCTAAAGATGACTTGCAAAGGCATGGCAGTGTGCTTTGTTTCTCTCCTTTACTTTTGGGTGGAGGTGATGTTAACAATGCAGCACGTGGCACTCTTCTCTCTGAACTTTGGACCAATAATCAAAATGCATTAGGGGGAAACCTGCCGCTGCTGCTGTTGGTACCTGCGCCATGTTTTGGAGGAGACAGAACTGACCTTGAATACTCATGGCTACTCAAGAATCAATGGCACTTTTCCCAGAAGTTGGCATTATGAATGGTATCCAGACTAAAATCCAATTTAAGCATTGCTATTCTTCCTATTCAAACTTCCTCTGTAGTTTTAGGTGGAAATGGTATTTGAAATCTCTGCCCCATTTTTTCCCCAGAGATACCGGCTTTTCTTGGATGACTGAAGTACTACGTATGTTTATCATGATTGTGGAGCACTTGGGTAGAAAGACAAAATAGAAATACAAGCAGTTGTTCTTTAATGTATTACAGAGGTGATACTGAAACCCTCTCTCATGTAGATAGGTCGTATTTACATATGATGCTGTACTTAAAAATGTTCCAGTTATTACATGTTTCTATTAATATAAATTATATAGGAATAGATGTGATTTTAATCATACATTTCTAAAAACCAATTACAGCATCTCCTTCAAATCCTCTTTTTTTCCCCTTAAAACAGACTAATCTCTTCTAGATTTGTCAGTTTGATCGTTCTAGTAATCATATTACTGCATTTCATCTTGCAGATTTCCATTTATTTCTTTTTAGTGTAAGACTGTCTGATATTGCAGATGTTCTTAGGAACAGTGTGACCGTGGTTTATTTAGATTAATAAGACTTTCTAAGTTATTCAAGTATCAAGGTTTTCAGGCCACTTGGGATTTTAGGATGGGATTTTCAAAAGTGCTAAGCATTAGCTGAACTCTGCTGCCATTGCATTCAATACAAGAAGGGAATTAGGCCAAACAACAAGCCCTTTGGAGCATCTAACCCTATGCTCATTTTTGTGTTCAACAATTGGAGAGAAAGTCTTTCATCAGTCTTTGCTCTTACCATTCTGGGTTTCTCATATAATCAACATTTCTGTATTGCAGTAATACAAATCACAAAACAGAGTTCATTCTACAGAATTATGAATATTTTGCATTTGTATTCTAGAGTAGCCAGTCTGAATCTGGGCACCTTTGCCATAAACAGTACAAACGCTTAGAAGCAGCAATACCTCGGGCTTTCTGAAAATTCACTATCATTAGAAAGTAGAGAGACTTTTGAGGCCTGAAAACTAATGTGATGCAATTCATTTTCTAACCTGATGAAAGTGCCAAATGTATAATTAGGGGTGTTGGTTGTAGCCGGGTTGGTCTAAGGACACAGGCAGACAAGGTTCTTTGGGTAAATCCGATATCTTTTATTAGCCCAACTCCAGGAAGAGCGCAGACCATCTGCAGACGCTTCCTCTGCCTGACGAAGGATAATTGCACCCGAAAGCTTGCAAAGAAGAATTTTTTCCAACTATTTGAGTTGGTCTAATAAAATGTATAATTACACCTTGACACAAAAGTGTTTTTGTGTAAACGTATGGACTTGGATAACACGAATGAGCATTTGAAAAAGACTGTCCTTGAGATTTCAGCAGGTGAGGGTGTCTTAATTTTGGAAGCCAGACTTGTTAATGTGTCATTAAAGGCAGACTCCACTTTGTTCTACTTGACCAGTTACAAGAGAAGATTTTATTATTTGTCAGATAACATGCAGTTATCCGGCAGTCTCGCTGGCATGACTGACAATGCCAAGTTTTTCACATCTTGAAAACATGATTCATTTTTTCCAAGAAAATCAAATTAGCCTCTCCTCTTTCTTCTCTCTGACCTCTGCTATACTTAGCCAAGCTATTATCTTCCCCTGAAAGAGCATATTTGTTGAAAATATCTTAATGTTAGTGTAATGCTCTTATCTTAATAGAGTAAAAGTACTTAATTATAAAACACATTGTAGGCTTTAGAAGTACATTTAGTTAGTTCTCTCTTCTTTGGATCAAATCTCCCGAAGAGAAACACTGTCAATGTTTATTATTAACATTTGCTGAAATGGATAAACAGAATAACTACATTATATATGGGTTTATACACATTTTCCACTTCTAGCTATTTGTATTCATCTTTCTCTTTTCAATCTCTTTCTTTTAAGGGTTATTTTTACTGCTAAATTGAAAGAGGATTACCTTGCAGAAGTCTGCCTCCTTTATAAAGATGAATGGCCAGGGCTGCTTCATACTTCTCTGCAGAGATTAAATTTGCTATTTCAGATGGGCCTTCATAACGAAAAGCATCTTTAAGAATGCATGTATGACCTGCGGCCTCTAGATGATCCCTTCATCACAAAAAGAAATAGAACAAGAGGAAGAGGATAATGTTAATACACTGCAGGCTTGCCATTATGTTGAACAATTTAATCACAACATCTCGCTTAATAACTTTTGCCTTGAGATTCACCTTCCTTAGAAAACCTGGCTGAGAAAATACTTTCCTAAGAAAGATGCTTTCTGCTGTCCCCGTGAACATCTGATCCTTATGCAACATAATATCTGCATCCCGTATAAATGGTCTGATCCTGCAAGGTACTGACAGCCCCCACTTCTCTTGGACATCAATGAAAGTGGAAGAAGTTCAGCACCTTGCAGGACGGGGGTTTCTGAACCTGATCCGCCTCCTAGTAAAGTCCATGGGAGTGCATTGTAAGCAGGTGCAGAACGTAAAACGCCCAAAAAAAGACGCATGAAAATGAAAGAACATACAAAAAGCATTCAGCTAACTAATCCTGTTACAATAACCATGCATACCACTGTGCAAGAAAAATCTCTGCTCCAGGGGAAAAGGAGTTGAGATTCGTGTGGAAGACCTAAAATTAAAATCCATGGACACCTACTGACATGTTTGACTTCGGGCTTAATCTGTTCTCACCTCAATTTGCCTATCTGTACAATAGGCTTAAATAAAAAGGATGATCTTTACCATTGTTTCATTTAATAAATTACTATTTAGCAAATGTTTTCATGGGCATAACCAAAAGTTAAAGCTGTTGAGATTAAAAATCAAAACGGAGTATTTATTGTTGCCTTTTTATACATGTTGCACGACAAAAAATAATGCTACATGGCTCTTCATGTTAAAATCCTGATCTAAAGGCCATTAACAATTGGTAATAGGGCTGTTATCGTTAGCCAGGGTGGGGATGTTTCAGGAACTTGCATCTCTTAAACATATCATAAAATAACTTCCAGTGCGAAGTGTTTGTATTTTCAATATCATAAAAATAAGACTTCCTTTTTTGTGGTTATTATCTATTGCTCCAGTTGGTTTATTTCTCATCAGTGTGTTAACTGTTGTGGTGTTAAAATCTGCTAATTCAATAGCTTCTTGAGTATGATTCTTTTTCCTTTCCTGGTCATTTCATAGCCTCCCAATGAACGTAATTATCTGTCCTGCAGAAGTTAGGCATCACTGCAGAAACGGCTGCTTAAAAAGCTGTAAAATGTCTTGAGGCCTTGAGGAAAGTGCAGTAACACCATATCAGAGAGCCGTATTGGTACGACATATGGTCCTGTATCTCCTCCTCATTCTGAAAACAAACTCATTTAACTTTTGATTTCACAATTTGAAACCCCACCAATAAATTCCACCAAGTACTAATAAATAATAAAATGCAGCCAGATTGTGAGCCCTTTATTCTCATTGTTGAGCAATTACTCACATCAGCAGCCCCATGGATATGTGCAAGTATCTGATCACCATTTGTAAGAGGTTCACAATTTGATTCTAAATAGTAATAATAAGAAATAAACCCAAATCCCACAGCGATAGAAGCATGCTCTCTCGGGCAAGCATTCAAGATGCTCAGGCATTACATCCCAGAAGTTCACAGGTGCTCATTAACTTGTCTAAAAGATTTTTTTGTCTAAAAGATTTTTTTTCCCTTCGGTATTCCAATTACCATAAATCACTATCATGTACAAGCAATATGTTTGCATATTACAATTAATTTGAAAATAACTCTCTACCACTACACTCCAAGGAGATCAGAGCCCAGAAGACTAAGCTAGGAATTTTGATCTGAGACTACCCTTTTCCCCCCCACCCCCAACTACAAGGAATAAATATATTTCTCTTCCTCCACAGTTTCCACGTTCCAAATCTCATTGCAATTGTTGACCCTTTCCAAGAACTTAAGATGCAAACAAATAAATGTTCTCCAACTTTGCAGCAATTTTGCTCATTAAGGAACATAATCATAAAAGTTGCTCTGTCCATGTTACTTTAGATTTTGATCTTCTCTATAGAACGGCCGTGCATACTAAGCACAGCTAAAAAGTCTGGGGTTTGGCAAGCTTGCAATTAAAGAAATGTTTTTGCAAAAATCTTGTTGGCCTAATAAAAGATACCATCTCTACTATGAGTCCTGATTGCATGTATAAATGGAATTTAATGGTGTTATCAAAAACCATAGTTTAGCAGAGTCAGTGAAAAAAAACCCCAAAAAATGTATCTAAGCAAGACTGACCTGTTTTACTTAAGTCAGGGGCATCGAGGCTAGTTCCCTGACACAGTAGTTTTGTAGTATAGAAAGTGAAGATGTATTTTACTTGCCTCTCCCTTGTGAGCAGACCAGTGTGCGTGTCCTAAAGAGTCACACACTATTGAAACAGGATGAGAAATGTGGCAAAAAGAAAACTGCAGATCTTTGCTTTGAACCACTCTGATAGATAGCCAATGGACAATAATTTCTCCACTCCAGCTATAGCTGTTACAAATGGGGCTGGTGGGATCAATGGTAAAACCTGCTAACGAAGCTGTCTGTGCCAGAAACAAATCAAAGTGGAACAAATGATAGTCTTGATGGCAAACGGGGCTGGAGATTTCCTTGAACAGTCCAGCGACGGATATACCGTCTTTAACTCCCTTAAGGTGGCAGAGCCTAAACTTGCAAATGGTGAGGGCTGAGATGTGATGGTGATGCAGTTTTGTAAGGAAAAGAAAACAATTCTCACTAATTTCTAAATGGGAAGAGGCCTGATGTCACAACTGCTTACGCACACGCATACGAATGACTCATTATGTGCTTCTGGTTAAGCACATCCACAAATGTTTGTAGGAACAGGACACTAAGTAATAATAATCTATTATTACTGGAATATATAGAATGAAATATATAGAATCTGGAATATATAGAAATGAAATTTTCCTTTCTTGTGAAAGGATTTTTTTATTTCCTGGAAGATAATTTCTTATATGCTCACACAGATATGGCAGCTTCATGGCAGATAGACAGAGGATGTTTGAGCAGCTATTTTAGAATATTTTTTTTTGTGGTCGTTGTTAAAGGCTCTTCTGCCTGTGAGGTCACAAATGTCCCTGAATCAAGCCAGCACATAATAGATGCACTCCTGATATCTTTGTTTTCTTTTCCGCTCGA